GGTTGAGGCAGGAATGTTTGGATTGTTTTTAATGATGGGGCATGGGAGTATGAATGAATTTTTGAAGTTTTGTTTGGCATATTGTTTTCGTATGATGAGGAAAGAAGGAGTTGTGAATGATCAAAATGGATGGAGAAAGAGGAAAGACGATTTGGGAGATTGTTGGAATCAGGTTGTTAGGGGTGCGAGTGATGGAGGATGAGAGAATGAAGGAAGAGTGAAGTCAGTGCCGGTGAGGTATGAAGATACACTGTAATATAATTGGAATATGTGTGTGTGTGTGTGTGTGTGTGTGTGTGTGGGTGTGTGTGTGTGTGTGTACACAATATCGAAAGGGAGCGAATTCCAACTCTGAAAAACTCGGTTCGATATAAAATGTTGTCCTTCTGTAATCCGAAACCTGTCCTTTAGCAGATTTAGGCGATGCCCACTAGTCTTACTCGTAGGATTGAGAGGAAATGGGGTCTTTGAGAGGCCGAAATGTGAGAATTAGGTCTCTTCTCTTCCGTCGCTTCGAAAGTGGCGGCAGACCTATTATTAACAAAAATCTGTCTGACGTAAGATTTGTAAAGTCTACTGACGATATTTACGTCGCTTTTGACAAATATTTTGTTTAATAGGAAATCACAGGAAATCACACGAAATCACAAGAAATCACAGGAAATCAAAGGAAATCAAAGGAAATTAAAAGGAAATCAAGAGGAAATCAACGAGAAATTAAGAGGAAATCAATGAGAAATTAACGAGAAATCAACAAGAAAACGCGACTTCTCAAAGCGATGCGTTTAAATTCTCGCCTACCTATTTCATCCGACGAATATCATTTGAATAATTGAGAATGGTACCAAATGGGTTTCAGTGACAGCGATCTGACATCGTATGTCCAAGACACTGTACATATTATCACAAAGTTAAGAACAAAGTTTTTAAAATCAGACTCAATATTACCTCTAGGGACTTACGTTGCTACAGTTCTTCACTTTGAAATATTAGTAAAAAATTACACCAAAGATCAACATATGCTAACAATAACGGATTTGAAAGCAGAAGACAAAATGAACTATGCAGGGGCAGAAAAAATGTGTAGCCCGGAAGTAAGAAAAATGATAGGCGACAACATTGACAATAGTGCAAGAACAACAGCTTATTTGAAACTAATGTATCTTATACCGGCAGCATTCCTGGACAAAACGTTATCTATTGTAGAAAGAATATATAACATTTGGTATTGCATATTTTTCCTACGAATATGGAAAAAATGGATTAAGGACCAAAGACAGTATACAGTAAAAGATAACTTTTTATCTCCCAATTGCTACACATGCGTTGCACCCAATGGACACGCATTAATAAAAATAATTAAAATTTTTCAAAAAAGTAATCTTACTGATGATATGTTCTTGCCTTGGAAGTTTAGCTCTCAAACTTGTGAGAGTATGGTTAGAAGCCTTAAATCAATGATCTCAACTTTTAGCACAATTGTTAATTTTAGAAGAGATATGTTGCATCGAAGTGACAGACTGCAAACTATAAACACCATTAAAAAAGATTTGGATAAAAAATTCGTTTTTCCTAGACAAATCACGAAAAAAAGTTCAATCATGAAGAGAGATTTTGTGAAAAATGATGACTTAGGAAATATTTCAGATAAAGATATACAAAGCACCGTAGAATCAGCTTTACGGGATTGTCTGCGTGACACTGAAGATTTAGGAATGAAAGTGATAGATTTCAACTATGTATTTTTGCCTCCGTGCAAAGACATTGAATGCAATGACGAAGTTGAAGATGAAATGTTTAGAGAAGAACAGTGCGATCACATTGAAAATTACAACAATTCTCAAATACCCATGAAACGTAACTGTTTTCAAAGTTTGGAAAACGATCCAGTGGACCAAGATGAAGATTTACTGAATGATCTTTGCACAATTTCGTACGAATCTAAGAAATTTGCCAGAGACATACACCTTAGAAGTTTTGATAGTGACGATAATTTTGTTGAGATACGTGATCTAGTCAGAATACGCTTAGATAATACAACAAAAGTTATAAAAAAGTCTTCAGTTTGCTGGCTGTTAGACAATGAAAAGGATCGCGTCAGTGTGGATCGTCTCAAAAGATTTATTCAAAATAAGAAATGTAATAGTAGTAGAGTTAACTCAGAAACAGATACCTGCCTTCAACATAAAGATGCATCTCAAATTTAAAAACCAGTCCAAATTGGAAAACAAAAAAGACGCTATAATATATCAAGTGACTCATCTGATTTAGACAACCCAAGTAGTATCGAATATGATGATAGCACGGACACCGAAAGTTTGAATTCTTCCAATTATTCTGATGATTTGAATCCTCGTTTGAATCTCAAGGCTGAAAATAGTAAGACTGATCGTTCTAAACCAGACTTAAATATAGACGATTATATTATAGTACAATTAACAACTCAAAAACAAAACAAAAAATGTTACATTGGTAAAGTGCTATCAGTTAACCCTATTTTTTGTGATTTTTTGAAAAGGAATCCAAAAATTCCGGATGCTTTTTGTTTCCGGATATTAAAGATCAGGGGGAGATCCAAGAAAATGAATATATAATGAAACTACCTCTACCTCAGGTACTCAAAAGAGGCAGTTTAGTTTTTGAAAAAAAATTATTGAAAAAATATTTGATTTAATTCTAGTTTTTTTTTTCAGTAATGTGATTAACATTTGTGATAATGTAACCTCAACCTGGCTCGAGATTTGTACAAGTATATATCGTAGAGAATACTAAAGTAAGAAACTGTGCAAAATTCTAGGTGCCCATGAACACTTTTAAAGGGGAAAATTACTTTTAAAAATTTATCAAATGGGGTTATCCACTCCTTTATTGTGCAAAAAAAATTCTTACGTGTTAAATTTTGCATTTCAAAAGTTTTTTTCTAATATGCTTCATTTGAAAGTTGTGAACAAAAAATTAAAAGTGCATCTGTATTTATGGGTAGCTAGAATTTAGCACAGTTTTTTACTTCAACATCATCTACAATATATGCACAAATCTCGACCCATGTAATGGGGTAAGTATTTTTTAAGAAGTTGTTTTATTTTGTGATATTTTGTTATGATCTAACAGAAATGCTTTACTTTTATGTTTAGAGTAACCGTTTTTTTTAACATTTAATAAAATAAATGAAACTACTTGTTTTTTCTGTTTATGCTACCATAATAAATGAATAAACCCAATTTTTAAAAAGTAATGACTTAAGTTATTATCAAAAGTTTGATGTAATAGGTCAAACTTTAACATGATCTTGTATGCACAACACAGAGATGATCCTAATAGAATGATTTTGGACTATTTGGTATTCATTAATTACCTCTGTGAACGTATGAGCCAGTCGTTGTTGCCTTATGAGTTTGAGTCACTGATAAGTAAAAACTGCTGACGTAACTAAAAATATCCTTGGCCTTATGTACTTTTAATTTCGTAAAGTCAAAAGCAAAATTTCATAACATAATTTATTAAATCTTTGAGTGATTTAAACGAACTAATTTGTACACACCAGACATTTTTAATTTCAAAACTAAAATAGACCATAAGATTTTCTGACTGAATGTGCAAAAAATCTAGAATATTGCATATGTCCACTTTTAGAACAAACATTTGACCCAAGAAAGTGTAAAATTCGAACGTATACTTACTCTATTGATTTATATATATAATTCAGCTCTGCAAGCCTTAAAGACCCTGGGCTTTTTTAACAATAATTTTCCATTTGTTCCTGTGGCTGCTTTGGATTTCCAATCTTCAATGCCTAAGTTTTGAAGATCTTTTCGAACATCGTCTATCCACTTCACTTTTGGCCTTCCTCCCTTTTACTTTCCTCCTTTTAGGCGGTCTAATACCTTCCCAATCGTCCTTTCCTCTGGTGCTCTTCCGACGTGGCCTAGCCATCTTAGTCCCTGTGCTCTGATTACCTTCGTGATTGTTGGTTCTCCGTATATTTCCTCGATCTCTCGGTTTGTTCTTCTGCTCCATTTGTCTAATTCTTTTACACCTCCATATATCTTTCGTAGTATCTTGCGTTCCCATACTTCCAACTTCTGTTCCTTTTCGTTCGTTAGCGTCCATGTTTCACTAGCGTACAGGACTGTAGGTCTTACTATTGTCTTATATACTTATTTTTTTGTTCGTCGTGTTACATTCTTACTCCTCAGAAATCTGTTTAATCTTCCTACACTCTTGTTTGCTTTCGCGATCCGTTCTTCTATCTCTTCGTTCATTTAGTTTTTGTTTGTAATTACTACTCCTAGATATTTGAACCTATTTACTTCTTCGAATTCGTATGTTGTTCCTTCTTCTGTAGTTAGTTTCAGTGGTTTTGCTGGAGTTTGTTTTGTTTCCATCTTCATAAACTTCGTTTTCTCTTGGTTGATCGCTAAACCCATTCGTTTCGCTTCTCTGATTAGAATTTTTGTCATTTTCTTCATTTCTGCTTCTGTTCTCGTTATACATGTCACGTCATCTGCAAAGGCTATATTTTGGTGTCTTTTTTCGTATATCGTGCTCGTTCTGTGGATACCACTTCTCCTTATTATGGCTTCGAGTACTAGATTGAACAGGGTAGTTGATATTGGATCTCCTTGCCGGAATCCTGTTCTAACTTGGAATGGTTCTGACAACAGACCATTTATCCTGACTCTGTTTCTGGTGCTCTGCAGGGTCATCTTTGTCAGTTTTATTAGTTTTCTTGGGACTCCCAGTTCTTGCATCGCTTCTAGTAGTTCTTTTCTGTTAACCGTGTCATAGGCTTTTTTGAAGTCTATGAACAGCAGATATAAGTTGATTCCCTGTTCGTAATGTACTTCTTGTAGTTGCTTCAATATAAATATCTGGTCTACAGTAGATCTATTTTTCCTAAACCCTGCTTGATATTCTCCTACTATTTTTTCCATATGCTGCTTTAGTCTTCGGTTGATGCAAGTGGCCATTACCTTATACGTTACGTCTAGCTGCGCTATTCAGCGATAATTTTCGCATTTCGTAATATCTCCTTTTTTAAATATCGGGCAAAGTACTGCTTCACTCCATTGTTCTGGCATTTTTCCTTCCTTCCAACATTCTAGCACTAGTCGATGTATCTCTGATGCTACTGCTTCTCCTCCGTACTTTAGCATCTCGCCCTTTATTCCGTTTCTACCAGGACTTTTGTTGTTTTTCATCTGCCTTAGTGTTTCTCTTATCTCTCCTTCGTCAATTTCTATTGTTTCATCTGGGTCATCCGAGTCGTTCACTCTTTCGTTCGTGTCTTGCTGTGTATCCTGTTCGTTTAGCAGCTCTTCAAAGTATTCTGCCCATCGTTTTATTCTTGCTTGTTCGTCTCCTATCAGGTTGTCGTCCTTGTCTTTACAGTATATTACTCGTGGTTGATAGCCTCTTTTCTCTTTTTTCACGTTTTGGTAGAAGTTCCTTATTTAATTTTTGTTGAAGTTTTCTTCTATTTGTCGTATTTGTTCTTCCATCTTTGCTCGTTTCTTACTTCTGCATATCTTCTTGTACTCTTTCCGTTTTTCTTGGTAATCTTTTTGGTTCTTCTCATTTTTTGATTTTAGATATTTCTGTCTGGCTGACCTCCCCGCTTCTATTGCTTTTCTACATTCCTCGTCAAACCATTCGTTTCTATTTTTGTTGTCTTTTTTGACGAACCCTAGTACTTCTTCCGAGGTCTTCCATATGTTCTCTTGTAGTTCTTCCCACCTCTCTTCTATAGGTATGTCTTGCTCTATTGATCTTATTCTCTCATTCATCTTTTGTTCGTATTCCTGTTGTACTTCAGCTTTCTTAAGTTTGTTTACATTTATATCACGTTGCGTCTTCTTTCCTTCTTTTTTCTTCGGTATTTCTTGTTTGAGGTCTGCTCTTACTAGAAAGTGGCCTGAATTCGCTTCTGCTCCCCTGTAGCTTCTTAATCTGGTTATTAGTTGGGCATCTCCTTTCTACCAGTATGTGGTCTATTTGGTTGACTGTTTTTCCGTCAGGCGACATCCATGTGCCTTTGTAGATCTCTTTCTGCGCAAAGAAGGTGCTTTTGACTACCATTTTATTTTCTTCTGCAAACTCTATCAGTTTTTCTCCATTTTGATTCGTTTTTTGGTGTTTGCTTTCTTTCCCGACTGTAGCAATTCTCTTTACCTATCATTGCGTTGGCGTCTCCTATAACCATTTTAATGTCATGCTTTGGTATTTTCACATATTCTCTTTCTAGTTCTTTGTAATATTCTGTTTTTACTTCTAGATCTTTCTCTTCAGTCGGTGCATGTATATTCAGTAGGCTTATTTTCCTGTACTTACTTCTCAATCTTATATAGCTCATTCTTTCTGAGATTGGTTTGAAGGTAATTACTGCTCCTTTCAGGCTCTTCTTCACCATGAATCCTGTTCCTAGTTCTCTGTTGTCAATTCCGCTATTAAATAATATGTAGTTGTCTGTTTCAGTGATGAATTTGCCTTTTTGTTTCGTCTCTTGTATAGCTGCTACCTCTATATTATACCTTTGTAATTTTTGAACTAATTGTTTGTGTTTTCCTTCGCTATATGTTCCTCGAACATTCCATGTTCCTATTCTAATTTTCGGGTTTTTCTTTCTCTTCGTAATTCCTATCGGGTCATCCATGAGCTTTGCATACGTCGTCATTGTTTTCCGGTGTGTGGTTTCTTCCTCTATTAGTTTTGTGGATTTTCTTTGGGGTGCGACGGTGCTTTCACTAATTTGTCTAATTTACTGTCCCAATGCCAGACTTCTCCTGCCCATATCATCTTTTTGTAGCCTACTTTTGCCTCGACTCCTTTCCCTTTTTCTGCTGCTGCTATTCCTCTTATTTTCTTCTGTATCTCGCTCTCTTGTTTGGTGTAATCGTCTTCAATAAACGTTTTTGATCCTTTTAATTTGTTATTCTGTTTCATGATTGCTCTTTTTGTGTCCGAGTTCTCTATCTTTGCTACTACTATGTCGTATTTTTCGCTGACTAATCTTGCGTCTTGTATCTTAGTTTGGATTCCTACCTTATTTTTTAAGAGTTCTTCAACCTCTGCTGTTATTTCGCTTCCTTGTAGTTTCCCTCCTTTGATTACGATGTTGTTTCTCCTTTCTGCTTTTTCCAATTTTTCTAAGTGTTGCTCCACTCTTTCTAATCTTTCGGTCAGTCTTTGGTTTTCTTCTCTTAGTGTTGTTACTTCTGTTTGGTATGCTCTTTGGTCTCTTTTCATTTCTGCGATTTCCTCCATTAACGTTTTGAACATATTCTTCACTTCGTCCATGTCTCCTGCTTGTACCCTCTTCTGCTTCCTCTGTACTCTTTGACCTTCCGGTGATGGTGAAAAGGAGGTTTCTCTTTTTCGTTTCTGGTTGTCTTGTTCTTCTATTGCTAGTTTGTGTCCTTTTTCCCGTTTAGCATCCCCTGGCCGACTTTCTTGCTTCCTGTGTATCTAGTACGTTCCTGTGTTGTTTACTTCGTGCCGCGATAAGAACTGTCACCCAGACTATCTCTTCGGAAGTTAGGTTCTTTTGATTCCACACTTTCCCGAGTAATTGCTGTCCTTACACTTCTTGGTGCTTCTTACTCTTATTCCACTTCACTTCTTTGTTTTCTACTACTTCTCTTTCGCTTTTGACGCTCGATATCTCTCGATTTTCGAGTTCGGATTTCGGAGCGTGTTCTGCTTATCGTAGTCAGGACCGTACTCCACTCTATTGATTTAGACATCTAAAACCTAAACCTTGATTTTAGAGCAGCGTTCTTTTTGTAAGTAAAATCAGATTTTTTTTCTTAAACATTTCAGTTTGTTATTATACATATGATTCAACTTTGTATTCTCAATATACAAAAAATGTTAAGCAGAATTAATCAATCAGGACTCCATTCACTGATTGCTAAGAGGTTCTCCATCAATATGTTTAAATTACTGCTAACATTATATAGTTTAATGTCATCCGCGTACATGGCAGAGACTTAATAATTTTCTTGAAATCGGCCTGTATAAACTATAAACAGCAGAGGCCCGAGGACGGACCCCCGCAACACCCCACTCAAAACTTGCATCCAATTACTCAGAGCATGGAAGGAGAGGACCATATGAAGAGAAGTTAAGAACTCATACTTTCGTTGAAACTAATATGCAAGCAAAATTAAATGAATTAAAGAACTGATAAAATACATGCAGAAGTGAAAGTGGAAATTAGTGTAACAAGAAGTGGAGAGAGAAAAAATGACAAATGAATGGTGCAATGAGAAATGTCACAACTTTAAAAGAGAAACAAGGGTCTAAGAAAATCGAGAAACCAAAACATAACAAGACAAAAATACCTCAAAGTCAGAGAATCATATAGATGCAAATGCAAACAAAGACCGAAAAAAGCAAGTAATGAAGGATGAGGCACAAAATATAAAAGAAATTAAAACAGAGAATAATATGGAAAACATATTAATGAAAAAATTATGCAGATGCAGAGATGGAAGAAATGTTTCATGCAATTGTTGGGAGAGAGCAAGAAAAGGGCAGAGAGTACACGAAAACAACTAACGATTGAAATAAAAGAAAATTACAAAGTGCAGCCAATGACAGAAGAAATAACAACTCGACTAGTTAAATTAAAAAAAGGGAAAGGCAGCGGCGAAAGATGGGATTCCAAATGAATTTATTTATTTCTCATTTATTAGTTAATTTAATTTTAATTAATTCTGTGAAAAGCACCGTAAATAAAAGCTATAAATTCCAGTCATGAATTCGTCGAAAAATTAGTTTTTACAGAATGGTGGGTCGAAATTGAACCATTGTTCGAAATATTGAAATTATGTTTTAACTCCAAAACGTTCTCTTCGCAGTAGGAGCTTTATTCGAGTGATTTTTTTTATTTTCACTTTTTATGTGCACCACCCACGAAGCAAAAAAACGCTGTCTCTTTTCGTTGTTTAAATAGCTGCCACACTCTCATTTTAGATTATTGTATTCTGAACTCGTTAACGCTTCGGTGCAAATTTTAAACTTGAGTGCTAACTAAAAAAAATGAATTAGCATCAAACGCAAATGGTGAAGATGTATATATAATATGTATGGAAAACAGAATTATTTTAAGAATCCATTCCCACAATGTGCAGTCTTTAAAAATCAGTAAGTTGTAATTCTAAAACCGAATTATTTATTTTATTTAGAATTGCTCCAGTAAAAAATATGAACAATTATTCTTTCTTAATTCGTCCTTCGTTCACGCCGAATTCTTTCAAGTTAAAATAATACACCGGTAGTTATGACTATGAGTATGACAAAAAGACGTCTTGCTGTAAAGAACACTTGTTATCAATCACCAGAATTTCAATACCATGACATTTCGAACAACAAAAAAGTTGTAGCGCGTGTCCATTCTAATTTTTATTATTCTGGTATCACTGTTCTCGTAGATAACGGACTCAGCTGATAACAGAACAATATCACCAACCTTGACATTTATTTTAAAATTCAACTACCCAAAACAAGGACGTTTTTTCTCGAAAAAATACTAAACTTTCTGGTTCACCGGCTCAGCTTCAAGTTTGTAGACTACTTCCGCCTACGGAGTCACAGGCTATTAATGATCCAAAACATAAGCAAAGTCCCCGAAAGTATAAAATTCCCCACACTCCCAAAACAAACACCGCCAACTTCTAGTAATCCTGCAGGATTATCGGGTTGACTGCGTTTTGACAATCTCTCACGCCGTCGAAAACAGGAAACCAGTAGTAACGTTTTATCTATGGAAGTATGTGTAAACACGGGTCTATTAAAAGATAACGGAAAAACAAATTAATACGACAATATAGAGAAATGTGTGGTAAAACAGATGTTTGCCTTGAGGTGGTGGGGTTCGCGTGCTGAGAAAAAGATCACAATTAATGCCACCGGGACGAAAAAATGCTGTCGGCCTCTGAAACAACTCTGTTAAAGCTAGGGAACTGTTTGAATGGGTTATTTTATTTGAGGATTTAGTTGAGTCACGTCTTCGGCAAATGAAACGTAGGTAATCAATGCATTGGGGGAGATTTGTTTTGTTGATTGACTTTTGGGAATTATTTGAGCGGAGAGGGTGGAGGATTTGCGGCGAGGACCTAGACTGAGTAGTGAGGTTGAATAAAGAAAGATTATTGGGTTATGTACAATAGAGTTGCTGTAAATACGTCTGGGGCTTTTCGTGTTTGTTGTATTATCACGGTGGAAACATTAACCGAAAGTAAGCAAATCGTGGGCGTCCTATTACTGTCATTTTTGTATTAGAGTTTATCACTTATACAGGGCGTTTTTGATAAACATGTGCAAAAATATTTCAACTATCTAGTGAGCCTAAGAGATTTGACAATTTTCCTTTTAATATTTAAATTAGTGTGAGGACAATCGATTCCTTCCAGATTTTTTCGACATAACAAGATATAGGAACCTAATGTACATTTATAAATCTTAGCAAACATGAATTCACAAAAATCAAGTATGACAGGTAAAATGTAAAAAAAAATAAAATTTATTAACGTAGATTTATTTTATTTTTATTATTGCAAATTTTATGTTTTACTTTGCCAGTTGAAAAAAAAATGGGAACTACCTCTTTTCCTAAAATACTCGTAAAATTCTAGGGAGTAATAAAATTTGATGGAAGAAATGATTAGAACTTCAACAAAAACCATATATACATATAAGAGTGTGGCGATAAACTATATCAATTTCATTCTAGAGCACAGAAAAATTACCCTTAGGTGGCGTTGTAGCACGAGCGGAGTTTGGGGCTCCGGGTTGTGGGCGTTCTCCCACCGCGACGGCGATTCTACTCTATCGCAAGCACTGCCGCACGAGCAGGCCGTTACGGTCGCAAACTCGTGGTTGAGTCCCGGCTATAGCCAGAAACCGACAGCGTCACGTCATCCCGACCGCCCCTAACTGCTATTATAGGCCTACATCCTTTGTGCAGATGGCGCGATCGCCAGCTCAACAAGGAACCGCGCACTCCGCTTCCACCACGTGTTTTTGTGTTATTTACCTCAATTCCATTTAAATGTGCACTCGCTATAACTCTGATATTAAACTGCAACTGAACAAGCGTTAAAGTTTCAAAAAGAACAATAAACAACATTTAAATTCGCCATGCACTCTCGTGAAATTTGAAACAGCAAAGAATTCTTATCGGAGATTAAGATTGGACATCAGATAATTTATATAATGGAAACATTAATCAACAAAATATTTACAAAACAAAAAATTAGCAAAGATTTATAAAAACAAAAAAAAGATCTGGTGTGAAGTAAAAACACACAAAAACATTACATGAGGTTAGGGACCGCGGAGTATGAAAATTTACGTGCAATTTAAATTATACAACAAAGAAAATTACTGAAGCTAAAATTGTGGCATAGAAAAAAATTGAATGAGGTGAAAAATTGCAAAGCTAACAAAATTACATGAGTTTAATGTTTTATGTCCATTCGAGTTATTGGTTAATTTTTAAATTATTCAGCTGCATTGTGGACCATCGTTTTAGATTCCCCAAAACAAACACAAAAAAACACAACGGGCAATCTGGAGGTTCAAAATGGCGTCGGACGAATGCGTGCGTCTAAAAAATATGAGTCAGAAAATATGTCTCCCAGAAATGTGATCAATCAATCGAAGGAATAA